GATAAATTTAGAGTAATTTAGCAGATTCAAATTAAGTCTACTTTATGACTTATTAAGACTCAAATGTGTACTTGTTAAAGATTTAAGAATCCACCGAAGTCAAAAAGTATAATGTCAAAACTTTTTCAGTAAATCCACAATTCTGTTTGATTTTGATTTTCCAGTTGTGGGCGGGAAGATATTAGGTTTTGATCCCCAAAATTACAAAGTAAAGGTCAAGTATAAGCAAACCTGCCATCACTGCAGTTATGCCCATGATCAGAGGAGAGTTTAACTAGCTAGGCAGCAGCAGGATCTGCACTTACTCGGGAAGGTACACAAGTTTATAAGTAATAATCTAATGTTTAGATATCACATAATGTAACATAAATTTGCTGTTCACTTTTCATTGTAATCCTAATACATTATTCTAAACTATGGGTACATGTATTAATAGGTATTACTGACAATGCCACATTCCATTAAAAGATACTTTAAGATGACTAAAACATGAAATATCTAATCTGATGTTTTTAAAATTTAGTGATTAACCAGTTTTAAACATTTTAAAATTATAGTAGAGATGATTTTCAGCCAATCAGATTCTTAAATCAAAACATTATTATACTTACTACACACTTGTTCAGGTGTCGGGGAAGATAATCTCATCGAGCTCTTTTTGTCCTTAACCTTTCAAGTCCTTATCAAACCAACATCTGCAATAATGCGTACCTAAATGTGTTTCTATTTTTGCATCACCGACGTTCTCTATCAATTCTTCCAACCTACTCATCCATTCATCCTTAACTTGCTCTTTACTGTCATCCAAAAATCTGAAGAGGCAACATCACAAATCAAAGTTGAGAGAAACAAAATATATGATGCAAGGTATTTTTAAATGATACACCAAAAATAATGTGATATATTAATTGCTTTGCAGCATGTTTGCAAATGCATAACTTCTGAGATAGACTGAGCATGTCACTGGCTCAAATATTTTCTCTCCATCATCACTTGCTGCCCATTTTGCTACAAAATGCGTCTTTATCAGGTTTAACACTAGCTACATTATTGCTTTTATAAACCATGTCTTTATTTTCCCACAGGTTCCACGTAACGCAGAGAAGGGCACATTCTCTGTGGCATCACCCTCATGGCTTAAGTTATTGCTTGAAATGTTGTTACAAGGTATTGCTAGGAAGTCACTTTTAGATGAATGCACAATTCCATGGGAAAAATAGAGACTTGCATTAAGTTAGTGTCTTATCACCATAGAAAGAGTAAAGCACTCGGAAGGCTGTCCCTTCCTCATGTTCCTGTTGGCTAAACTTCATAATGTATGTCGCAGTGGTGAGGATCAGCGAAGGTGATGTTCTGCATAGCTCTGGCAGTAGCTAAGAAGATGGTACCCCAGCTAGTATGCCTAATAGCCCTCTAGTGAGCAATATTCAACCCTCATGCTTAGCAGTGTTGATTTCTGTCTACAATAAGTTTGAAGCAGGCTTACAAATGCAAAACTAAAACTAAAATTCATGGGAGAGACAGTGGCACAAACCTCAGACAATCTTTAACTCTAAAAATAACTATGCGTGAATTATATTGCTATCTTAGTAAGCTTTATTTATGTCTGACAGTTGAGATTATTTGCACACTTTTCAATAACCCCCAAATCTGGCTGGCTGGTAGCATTCCCTGGGGTGGTTTTCTAAATGCAGATTCGTAGGTTCTATCTGAGACCTATTGAATCCAGATCTCTGAAAGTAAAGCCTAGTAACCTACATTCTTAAAACTCCCTAGGCAATTCTTATGAAGGCTTCCAGATACTTCCAGGCAGATCAGTTGAACCACTGAAGAAGGTCATTTTTAGTAAGGCTGTAATAACTATGCAGTGCTTAATGAAGCCATGACCTGGTCACAATATTTTAGAATAAAAGACACAAACTTATCTACAACCCTCAAGTCCTACCCCAAACTTTAGTCATTGTAATTGTGTAACATCTACATTTAATAAACACATATGAACTAAGAATATGCATGTGTACATATGACCTTAGTTGTGATACTCCCTGTATTATAAATCTATTGATGACATGTTTAAATGACAAGACAGAGCCCAAGCAAGAAACAAAAAGTGTACAGGACAGTAATACTTAGGCTCCAATTGTTTGAACCAAGTGTAAGGAAGGAATTTTGCACACTATCTCCACATTCTCTGAAAAAGATTATAATAATCTGTGTGTAATATCAGTGTCTGTTGTTTATTCACCACTGAGAGAATCCCAAAATCAAGTCCATAGTTGGGGTTAACTTACCCATTTAAGAATAAATTTTATTCTGCTGGGTTAACTCGATTCACATACATATTAAATTGTCTGTGAGTTAAGTAGAGTCATATGAAGAAACACCTATCAATCTATTAAGAATGGCCATTTTAAGCTTTAATAATTCATTGTCATTTTCATCTGGAGTTTGGGATTTTCTCCAGCAAGTTATGCTTATAGATGTCTCTGAAAGGACATGATTTTTGTATTTGGAATTCTACAATTAATAGTAGAATTAACTAAGTTACGAGATAGGGATTGGTTCTTGTACTTGAATATCTAAGTTTCTGTTGGATAAAGTCATCTAGTATCATTCAAAGATATTTAGTGTCATATATAATCAACTCCAAAGTAAAATTCAGAGAAGTTTCATAAAGTGCTTGGATTCAGACTATATATATTTAATGTATTTGGTTGTTGCAGGGTCTCACTATGCAGCTTGGACTTGTGGTGATCCTCTTGCTTTCAGTCTAGTCTCCCAAGAGCTGGAATTACAGGCATGTGTCACTACGCCTTGGGGATGGCACAGCTCGTGGTGCCCGGGATCAAACTGTGGTCCCTGGGCTTGCCTAAGCTTGCCTAAACAGCTGAGCTAACTTGCCGGCCCCTCAGACTGTGTTTTGAAGAAAGAATAGAGGGAGAAGCTGCAGATATACTCAATGCCCCAGCAAATCAGACAAAAGTAAAGTACTATAATTCAGTCCTGGAGCTGTGTGGCTTCACCTGCCTGCCTCAGGCCCCAGTAACTCTTTCTGCCGCCACCTTGACTTCAAAAGTAGGGAAAGAATCAAGCTTGATATGGCCAGGCTAATGCAATGGGACTGTGTTGAGTGACTGCATGCAGTTAGAGAAGGTCAGAGCTGGGTAACTCTTGCTCAGAATGCATAGCAAGACAGAAACCTATATGCCTTACTCACCGCAGCACATGCTTTCCAACAAGTTAGAAACCAAAGGAGCTTCAACAGACATATTTAATGATGGCCATGATCTTGAGCTCCTTCTTGATATTGTAAAACTTCAGTCCCATGATTTTGATCATCAGCGCTAGAGTGCTATAGAAAACACAAAGCCTGGTGGTTTTCCAAATTCCTTGTGGCTTTGTCCTTCATATCATATGAATTTGTTCTTGCTTTATTGGTGGAATTTTTTGTAGAAATTGCCAAATATAAAAGGTTGCTGTACTTGTGAATGAGACTTTAGGTTGTTATTGTTCTATTGTGCTGTGTTCTTCCGGGGGGGGGGTGGAATTTCTATAATAAAGTGTTTCCTAATTTCATTGTCACTGGGCAAGAGGAAGAAGTGTGAGGCTATGAGAATTAATCTTTGAAGTGCTGGTTCCAGCAATGCCTTCTAAAACCTGAGGCACTAGTGTCTGACTCAGAGCCACGAGAGGTCACAGCTCATTGGATTCCAAATGTCACCATGAACTAAAAGAGAAACTCTTTAACTCTTTTAGCCCACTGCTTTAGAGTGGGATAAACCCACTATATTAATTAATATTACTTGGTTTCTTGGGGGATATTCTTCAAGTTCTTTTCAATGTGCCATGCCAAACGGCATGATATTCCTCATAATTTCTAAGTAAATGAGAATACTGTACAGGTATTAGCAAAATACGATATAAATTCTGGCACACTTTGCAGTTTCTAGGCGAAGAGAAAATACTTTAAAATATAACAGGAAAGATGAACAGAGAGGCAGATCTCAGGTGGTTACGTCAAGGACACCTAGAAGCTTTATCTTCTCCACCTTTATAATAGTCAGCCAACACATCCAATTAATGTTGCTGAGGCACAGTATTTTTTAAACCATGGCCACTATTATGTTTATTATATTTTACAAAGCAGATATTGTACGTAAGTCTTAAGTAAATATTTGAGGATTCTGATATTGTTATATTATTGATTTATTTGCAGATGAAGGCATTCTCATCAGTAAAATCATCATGACACCAGCAGTACGAGTGTCTAGTTATAAAGTTACTTCTCCAAATTAGCTTTGTGAAAGGGTACTAAAGGAGGGCAGTGATTGGTACCCGATTACAGTGTAAAGTGCTTCTTTCAGAATGGGTTAGACCCATTATATGTATTAATTAATATCTCTTGGTTTCTAGGGGGATATTACTCAAGTTCCTTGCATCCTGCCATACTAAAATGCACGGTACTTCTAGTAATTCCTAAGCAAATGAGAATACTTTACAAGTTATAGTCAAATAAAATATAAATTCCAGCACATTTTACAGACACAGTTTCTAGGCTAAGAAATATATACTGTATCATGTAGGATGCAGCTAGAATGAACAGACATATTATAGAATATCTTATAAACACACGTAGTAACTGTATGACTATCATGGTCAAATTTAATAGGTTGGCAAAATGATAAAAGATTAGCCCATTGCCTCAGACTAACTTCAAAAATATATAGATTAGATATATTATATGAAATACATAGCTTTCATCCTGTTTGTATTGTATATAGATCTCTGGCATGTGACATTTGTGACAGTGTAAATGGCTACTTTTGTTCTATATGAAACCATATAAACCATTATAGAGTTTGTGATTCTTCTGAAAAGTTGAGTCTACACACAAATTCTTCACTGGAGCCCTACTACTAATTGCCAAATGGTGGAGTGGATTTCCAATGTTTCTTTGAAAAGATAGATAATTCCTATAGATATTTTTAAGTACAGAGAGAGCAACCATATGTTTAGAATAGTTGCTTAAGCAATTTTTCACAGAAAGCAGAGAAATGGATTGGGCGATTCCTGAAAGTCCAGTTCAGCCATATGGTTACAAAACACATTTTCACCAGAATGTCTACTGATTAAATATATCGAAGTGACTCTAAATTACTGCACAGAATAAGAATAAATAGCTGGCATGATGTGGGGTCTATCTACATGCTACTTTGCTGTGAGGAACCCCTCAGAACTTCTCAGGCAACTTTCCAGTACTGCCGTGCGGACCAAGACGCTCCAGCCTTTAACCATCCTGGCTGTAACAGCACCTTGCCCCCCACTGTCTCCTATGAAGGGCAAGTTACTGCAGGGATTTCTTGTGATTAATTGTCCTCATGCGCAGGCCCTGCCTTCAGCCTTCACAGCCTTCTGTACATAACATGGCCTTTGCTCTCTATGGAGTTAAAAGCAGAGAAAGAGCCCAGGAAAGAGCAGGACAGGAGAGGTTAGAAAGCTCAGCAGCTGTGTCTTATATTCTGCATAGGAAGTGCACTGCAATAATGTTCTCTTAACCCATAGGGAGTGAAAAGAGCTCATTTATAAAACTAATGACAACTATAACAAATACTTTGCATATCTATAAATGTTTTCTAGCCACATACTTAAGAGAGCTTGAAAACATTAATTATGCCTCACAAACTACATTGGAAATTGGTTAATATACACTTTAGCTGAGTTATATTATAACCAGATCATAATGCAGCCCAAATCTTTAAATTAAAAAAATTGCATTTAGTAGGCATAAACTACCAAGGAATATACATACTAGAGTAGAAAATGTCTACTCCAAAGATTTTAAGGTAACAATACTTCCGGCTCTTTAACCTTAGCAGAAATTTAGGTTTATATCTGATCCAAAATAAGAAATCTCTGGATGCACTGTGCTTGCAATTTTACTGTGAGCCTGTAACAGTATCTCTCATGCAGGGTTGATTAATTGGAATAAGACTTCAGTACAGCAGAACATGCGATGGAAATCTACCTGAAACTACAGCGATTACAAGTTCAGAAAGTTAGAACTTCTCTAGTGTTCATGGAGGTGATTCACTGAATTTAGAAGCCACATCAAAGTAGAGAAAAACATTTAAGAGAAAAACTCAATGTCATAAAATGCTGGGTAGTCCTTGCTTGGCATTATGCAATAAGAAACAACATTTGTAGCAAAATGTTTGGATACTTTTGTGTCAGTGAGGCCAGTATCTGAGAATTCACTTCTAGGACAGGCAGTCAGCGCATAGGAAGCATCAACTTGGGAAGGGAGAGGGAATTACTAACATGTTACATGGATGGATGTCATTCATTAGAATGCAGTTTAATGTTGAACTAGCTATATTCATAGCTGCTACATTGAGAAGGGTCCAGGGTGAGAAAGCATTTTCTTTTGACAGATACATGTTACATGATGGCAAAAAAAAAAAAAAAAAGACCTTTCATTATTCTTAGTTACAAATGTATCTGCAATGAGGAAATTTCATGACCTCTGGACTCCATGCTACTTTAATTAAATCTAAAATGTGTATTTACTAAGTGACATACAACACTTTCTTGGCATCTGAAATCCTTGGCTATATGTATTCCTGGTCCAAGCACTAATCTATCTAAACAAGTGAAACTATATTAGATTAGTAGGTTAGCATTACATAATGTACTAACAATGCAGTAGCAGATTCTGAAAATCTAATAGTGGTGTGTGAAATGTAATTACGTAGAAGAAGAGATTATATATAAAAATAGGTAATATCCCTAAAATATTTTGCTGAGTTACAATTCTTCCCGCTGGGAAGTTTACCACACTGCCATGATATATGTATGAAATGTCTGTTCAGAAAAAGAAAATTAGAAAATATTCCTCATCTACCAATTCACTAAATGTAGGAATATATACTTGAAACTGGCTCTCAAAACTGATAGAAATACACAGGGAAAGATAACTGGGTGGGTGAAACACAAGAAACAGGAGCCTATTGGTTTGTTTTAAAAGGGGATCCATATCTGAATGAGTGAATATATATATTAGGATATATATATCCTAAACACTCATATAGATAGATCTTACATCCCTCCCACCTTCCACCTTCTATGGACAGTAGTCACACGAATTTTCTAGGATTATTGCCTGGCATAACAGAAATTCCACTGCTCATTCTCAAAGAAGCATTGCAAGAGGAGCTATTCTTTCCATCCTCCTATGGTGTGACCCATGGTCTGGGTTTGTGCTTTTTTGGAGGAGTCTTTGATCCGCAGGTCTCAGAGGCTCGTCTCCCGGAGGAACATGGTGCCGATGTTGTAGGAAACCTTTTTTATTCTTGATGAAGAAAGAGAAGGCTTCGGCTGCTTTGGACCAGTTCTTACCTCCAGGAAATAGCAGATCCCGGGGATTTCTTTTGGAAAGTTGTCTGGAAGTTCTTCACGGGACCGAGGAATGAATGTGAAGCTTTCTTCTCGTTTTAATAATCTAAGGAGAAAATGTAGACGATGTGAATGAAATAGCAGGGGAAACGTGAATCAGTGGACAGAAATTCTAGAGGCTTGGGAACCTGATCCAGATCTGTCGTCATACTATGCTCATCCCTATTACCTCGAATAGATGTGACTCTAAATATGAGGAAAGGTTTCAATATGGAACAAGTTCCTTCCTTGTTACAGTAATAGGAAAAAAAAAAAAAAACCACAAAGCTGCTCATGGTGCTGCTTAAGTGTGTTTGCCTTCTAAACAGTACTCCTTGACAAATATGTTTCAAATTTGATCTTTTCCCAAACACAGTGTTAAGAAAACTGCATAAGGCAAGATTCAAATAGGTAGGATTTTTCCTGTTTTGAGAACCTTTTGTATCTTTGTATCTTTTGTATTTTGTAGAATCTCAATAAGTTTTAAATATGCATCCCCCTTGTCAAACACATAGATCAAATGCTGAACTTTGTAGAACATTTCAGGACTTCAAGTGTTTGTGCTGATTACTGATTTCTCACAATGCAATACCTGTTTTCCAAATTCATTAGCATTTATTAGTTAAAAGCTTGATTATTCCTTTTCAATCACACTTACAGATTTTTTTCAGAACATACATATGGGAGAAGATTTACTTCTTAAATTTGTCAAGTTCCATGAAAGATTCAACTTGATTCCCATATCTTAAAATGTGGTTGAACAATTCAATTTAATTCAATTCAACATCTTGTTGTGGACCATTTACCTCTCCAGCAAACCTATTAGATACAGGGAATAAAAGAACAGCAATGAAGCACCTCTATAAACAGTGAAAAGGTGGTGCAATATCAAAGTATTATGAAAGAGAATAGAGCACATAAGAAAGCTAGATAACAAGGTAGATTTTCAAAAAACTACAGAAGCCCAGAAGAGGAAAGATGTTTCTGCTAGAAGGATCTTACAGACTTCATGACTGACTAAGATGCCTTTTAAGAACTACATTTATGATGCGGTTTCAGTTACAGGAGAGAACTTTAATAAAGAGCCAACTAAAAGAGAGATGATGGGAAATGGCATGATAGATCTTTTGCAAAAAAGAAAAAGACCAAGAAATGGAGTAAGGAAAGAGGAGAGAGAGAAAAGAATTAATTTTTAATTAATTTTATTGAGAAACAAATAGCAATGAGACAGTTTCAAAATAGGTTAGTAGGACAGTTACAATAATTAATACATTACATATTGTTGTCTTTATAGTATTCATAGTACAAGATGAAGACATGATATCTCATCTAAACCCTATCAATTTGAAACTTCCTTCTCATTGAACTAAGAGAAAGTAGCTATATATCTATGCTATTTTGTGTGTGTATATATATATATATATTTTCACTACAAAATGTTGAGCTGTAAAAGGCTAAAGTCAACAACCTAACATTGCTAGTCCTGTGGATAACCCACTACTATTATGGACTACTGGACTATATTGGATTACTTTGCTGAATTCATGTACCTTCAATATTTGAATAGCAATAGAATACTCATCTCTGATAAAAGTAAACAAAAAAGGGGACTATAAAAGAAAAGAATTAAAATGTACATTTTTTGAATGTACATGTACCAACTCTATGTGAGGAATATAAACATTATGTACTTAAAACATGTACTAATGAAAATAAAATTTGATAAAAGAAGTGCAGTTAAAATGACCAAGATGGGACTTTTAACTCTAGCTTTTTAAGGAATCACCATACTGTTTCCATAAAAGTTGTACCAGTCTGTACTCCCACCAACAGCAGAGAAGGGTTTCTTTTTCCTCACAGCCTCTTCAGAATTTGTTATTAGTTGATTTATTTATAATAGCCACTCTTTTTGGGATGAGATGGAATCTCAGTTTTGTTTTAGTTTTCATTTTTTGAACGACTAGTGCTGTGGAACATTTTTTCCTGTATTTAATTGCCATTTGTGTTTCTTCCTCTGAGAAGTGTGTATTCATCTCAGATGATCACTTTTGGATTGGGTCTTTGAATTTGGGGGGCCTGAAAAAATATCTTTCTTTCCTTTGCTTTGGTCATCATTCAAAACTGCACATAAGGAATAAACATTTGGGATGAGGGAAAGGAGAAAAGAAAGAAAAAAACAGGAAAGATTAAAAAATCAAGTATTGATATACATAGGATAGTTAAGATGATTGTACTACTAATTTCTATCAATTTTTTTAAGGTTGCATCTTTGTAGTTTCTGTTCTATTACTTTTATTTCTTCTTTCTCTCTTGCATTCCTGTCTTCTGTCTTCTGTACCAGTTTCCCAAAGCTTTCGTGATCCTCTTTTATTTTGCAGCCTGACCTCTAGTCACTTTCTCTTCTCCATCTGTATTTTTTCTTTAACCCATTTTAAATTTTCTCCCAAGGATAAAATTGACATATTAACAATTTAGTTAATGCATATAATTTTCTGGTTAGTTTTAGATTTTGTTATATGACCATAAATCTATGTCATTAGGTTAAAGTCTGCAAAATAATGGTTATCACAGCTTGTGATTTTCTAGGCTGCATTTGATAATGTTTTTAATTGCTGATTGTACCACTTTAGACAAAGTGATATAAGCAGCTATTCCTCCTGGTATACCAAGACTTAGATTGCTGAGAGTTATGGAAAATACTATGGGCCAGTGCCAAAGAAGACAGGACTAGCTAAGTAGACAGAAACTTCTCAGCCCCAATAAGTTTAAGGGGTAGGATCTTGTAACAGAATAAAACCCCAAGTCCAGCTACGCCTGGAAGACACCTCTGAGAAGTAATCATTTCCTAGGGATTATACATTCTAGCAGTAAAGCAACTTACCATAAGTGATCTCCAAGCAACAAACCTGAAATTAAATGTAAAAAAGAAAGAAAAAATGAGAAGACACTTGAAGGAGATGCAAATTCAGATATCCAGTTCACCAAAGAAAATGCAAGGGATAATGGGTTGGAAACATCTGAAAGGCACCCACTTGGCCTTTCTGAATGGATAACAATAAAGCACATGAATGGTGAACTGGAAAAAAAATCATAAATGATTTCTCAAATAACTACAGAGATGGCATTCATTAGACTCTAGACCAGATATAGACAAAAATAAAACAGAAGAACTTTAAAAAATTATAGAAGCTATGAATGTGCAACACAGAAAAAAATGGAATCTGTAAAACAATTTTGAGCAGATTTCCAGGAGGATAAAAATTCCACTGAAAGTATCCACAGCACATAGAGCTAAGGAGAGTCTCAGATCTCAACTTTAGAAGACAGGCTGCGGTTAGTGACTATAGAAAGAAAGAATTTTTAAAATGAATAAGGGACCATGAGAAATCAATATGGTACCTGCTAGATGATGCAAAGAATAATAACATCAGATTAATCTGACTTGATGAAAAAGCAGGAAAAATCCTAAATGGTATAAAAAATATTCAGATGTCATGGAAGAAAACTTCCATGGCAAGGAAAGTAGGGGGCAAAAGGGAAAGGGACCAACAATTTGACATACAGATAAGTAATACATATAGAACTCAAATTAACCATGATGAGTAAAATAAAAGAAAAAGAAACCCTAAATCCAGACATATCATAATCAAGATTTCAGAAATTCAACACAAGAATGGAATATTAAAAGTTGTTAGGGAAAAGGAATACATCATATATAAAGAAAATCCAATCAAAATTACAGCTGACTTCTCAACACAAACCATTAAGTGAAGGAAAGGTTGGACTGAGTATTTCAAGACCTAAATGTAGATAACCCCCAACACAAATTGATTTATCTAGCAAAGTTATCTTTCAAAATTGATTGTGAAATAAGACACTTTGAAAAAGAACATCTGAGGAAATTCATGTATACAAATCTAGTGCTCCTTCTGATGGACTTTTAAGAAGAGATAATTCACCAATCAAAAGAATATTAGCAGAATGGATCAAGAAGCAATAAACAACAATATGCTGCATACAAGAAATATATTTAACTCAAAAAGCAATTCATAGGCTGGAAGTTGAAGTATGTAAAACATTACAGTATGTGACACATCCCATAAAAAAGAAAAGGTAGTTTTTCTGTTGCAGACAAAGTAAATTTCAAGCCAAGACTGACGAAGAGAGGCCAAGAAAGAAACTGCATCCTTCAAAGGGAATAAATGGGAGGATTAGAAATAATCGTAAATATATATGCAACAAATACCAGTGCACAAAACTACATAAAACAAATATTAATGCATCTAATAAATCAAATAATCACTATTATAGTTGTACTGGGAGACCTCAAAACATGAAATATACAGATCAACAAGACAAAAAAAAAAAAACAATGAAATATAAGAATTGAGTCAAAGTTTTGAACAGATGGACTCAGTACATGTCTACATAGTGCTACATCCCATAGCATAATACACATTATTCTCACAACATAAAAGAACAGTAAATAAAACAGTATTTTATCTATTGATCAATGAAATCAAAGACATAATTTTAAAAAACTATCAACAAAGAAAATCCCAGGCCCTGATGGATTCATGGCTGAATTCTACAAGAAATTTACAGAAACTCTAATATCACTACCTCTCAAACTCTTTAATGAAATTGAAAGGAAAGCAACACTCCCAAATGCATTTCTGGAAGCAAGTATTGCCCTGATACCAAAACCAGAGAAGAACCTAACAAAGAAAGAGATTTATAGCCGAACCTCCCTAATGAACATAGATGCAAAAATCCTCAATAAGATACTTGCAAAAAGAATGCAGCAAATCATCAAAAAGATTATACATCATCCACGGCCAAGTGGGATTCATGCCAAGGATGCAGGCATGACTCAATATATGCAAATCAATAAATGTAAAAGACCCTCTCAACAGAGTCAAGGGGGAAAACAGAGAAAACAACAGTACTTTGAAAAAGGAGTTTGAAGAGGATATCATAACATGGAAAGATCCCTTACCCTTGGGTAGGAAAAACCAATATACTGTAAATAGCCATATTTCTAAAACTGCTATACAGATTTAACAC